TGCAGCTCAGAGAGAGGAGCAGAAAGGCCCAGATCCTACCCCAGAGACAGGATCCCACCCTGCAGCTCAGAAGAGCAGAAAGACCCAGATCTCTCCCCAGAGACAGGATCCCGCCCTGCAGCTCAGACAGAGGAGCAGTGTGACAGCTCAATGAGGTTCTCGTGTCAACCAGGAGCCTGGGTCAGGTAATGACACACATTTGAGATGGACTGCAGCTTCCAGATAGTCCTGTGACCAGTGTCATCTGAGGAAGCCCCAGAACCGATAAAGAGGAGAGCCAGAGGAGGCCAGCAGGGCCTGAGACCGATTAAATCCCTTAGAAAGGGGAGGATTTTGGCAGCAAACTGTCAGATCTTCAGACATGACCCCTCTCTGTCTGACCACATAACAAGGAGCTGCCCCCAAAGGCTCTGCCCCTCAGATCCCCAGCAGAACCGACATCCCTCTGTGCTTGAACATCAGCAGCAGGACGTGCTGAGAGCTGACCCAGGCCGGACCGAGGCCTTGTCTCTACTGCGCACCCACAGACTGACTTCACGTTTGGTTCTTGAACTTCCTGTCCCCTCTGTTACCTTGTTTATTGTGTGGTTTGTTTTCTGTCCTGCTCTGTGTGCTGTGTAAGAAGCCAAATTTAATCACCTGTTGAAATGTCACAGAGCTTGGAATCCTGAGCCTGGTGTATAATTGGGACTACCTTTCCTTTATGACTGAATAAAGCTGGCCTTGTGAAGACACACCTCGTGTGAGTGCCTTCACAGTGTGCTCCTGACGCACAGAGAGTCTAGGTCTCACCGGGAACACTCAGTGGGTCAGGGGCAGGGTCCTCGATAAACAGGGCGGGATATCCACATGCAACACAGCGGAGCTGGAGGCTTCCACACAGCATGCACAAAATTTAACTCAAAAGAGATTAAAGAGGTAAGTGTAAGACCTGAAACTGTAAAATCCCTAGAAGAAAACACAGGGGAAATTCTCCTTGACGTTGGTGTTGGCCATGATTTTTTTGGACATGACACCCAAGCACAAGTGACAAGTCTTGTCGGGAGGGGGGACCACATGGTGAAAAGACAGCTAGAACAGGGGAAAATATTTGTAAACCACATAGCTGATAAGGGGTTAGTGTCCAAAAGGAACTCATGCAGCCCAAAAGGGGAAGAAAAAGAAAGGGTCAAATTCACAGTAAGAGAGAGTAAAACGGTGGCTGCCAGGGGCAGGGCGATGAGGAGACACTTCCCAAAACTCCCTGCATTGTGTACTTTGCATGGATGCAGTTTACACCACGATAGACATCATTTTTTTAAAAAACAATATTGTGAACGATCTCATCACAAAGAATTTGAAAACTTAGATGATGCAGACAAGTTCTTAGAAAACACAATCACCATTTCAATTCATACCTGCAAAACTCAGTAAACTCCACCAACCAGTCGTGATTTTTATTTTTATTTTTAATTTTGGGGAGACTGTGTGGGCAGGGTGGGGGAGGGGCAGAGCCAGAGAGAATCTCAGGCGGACTCCTCGCTGAGCGCAGAGCCCCATGCGGGGCTCAATCCCACGACCCCAATCATGACCTGGGCCAAAACCAAGAATCGGACACGCAACCAAATGAGTAAGCCACCCAGGTGCCCCCATTTGTGATTAAAAAAAACACACACACAGGGATGCCTGGGTGGCTCAGTTGGTTAAGCGTCTGCCTTCGGCTCAGGTCATGATCCCAGGGTCCTGGGGTCAAGTCCCGCATCAGGCTCCCTCCTCCGCGAGGAGCCTGCTTCTCCCTTTCCCACTCCCCCTGCTTGTGTTCTCTCTCTCGCTGTCTCTCTGTGTCAAATAAATAAAATCTTTAAAAACACACACACACACACATACAACAACCAAAAAAAATCGAAAACAAAGAAACACCTTAGCAAAGGAAGACTTCCGGTCATGAGAACTTTCTCAGCCTGAAAAAGGGTACCTACCAAAAACTCTCAGCAGCAGGGGTCAAGCGGTGAAACAGCAACAGCCCCTCCTTGAGGATCAAGAGTGGGCTGAGGTGCCACATCCCCACTGAACTCAACACGTGGTGGGAAGGCAGGGAAACGGTGAAGGCGTGTGGGCCGCCAGAGAGACACGAAACCATCAACCATCCTCAGATTACAGGATTGTCTACACTCCCCTGCGCCACCTACAGAAAAGAATCAGTAAGAACCACGTACAATTTTGCAAATCTATTCCTATACGTGCGTAAGAACTTAACGCAAATGCAGTTTCACAGAGGAGCCATTTGCAGTCATAATACAACCGTTTTTAAGAGCACATGGGTGAATTTAACAAAAGACAGGTAAGAATGTTAGGAAAATGATACAGCTGCTGTGAAAGACATTAAATCAGACTTCAATAAATGAAGGGACCCGTGATGTCCATGGGCTTGAAAAATCAAGAGCACTAGGATGGCCGCTCCCCCCAGCTGGACAAATTGAATGCAACTGTGTGTGTGAGTATGTGTGAGAACAGAGCACAGTGTGCTCACATTCACATGGGGGAGCAAAGTACCAATAGCCAGGATGCCTGATAAAGTTGCAGGACACAGAATCCATACGCAGAAATCTGTTGCATTTCTATACACTAATAGGAAGGGAAAGGAACAAAACAATCCCGTTTCAATTGACTCAAAAAGCATGAAATACCAGGGATAAATTTAACCAAGGAAGTGAAAGACCTGCACACTGAAATCTGTAAGTCATGGATGAAAAGAGCTGAAGACCCAAGTAAAGGGAAATATATACCATGCTCATGGACCAGAAGAATTAATGTCGCTAAGACATGCATACTACCAAATGCAATCTAGAGATTCAGGCCAAGCCCTAAAAAATCCAATGGCATCTTTCAGAGAAAAAGAGCAAAAAGTCCTAAAATTGGTAGGGAATGATGAGAGGCCATGAAGAATAGCCAAAGCAATCTTGGGAAAGAAGAAAGCTGGAGGTGTTGGACTTCCCGATTTCCAGCTGAATTACGAAGCCACCGTCCCCACAACAGTATAGAACTGGCATACCAGAAGACACGCCAGGCGTGGAATGGCCTCCAGCAAGAGAGAGTGACCGTTCCAATCTGCCTGCCGGGTCCTCTGTGCCCGGGGCCCGGGCAGGGTGCCGCGTTTCCACACCGGTTGGCTGTGTGGACATCTGCCTTCTGTGGAGGGTACCGAAGTTGCCCCGGTCACCACTCGGACCCTCCCGGGGCATCAGGCCGCAGTAAATGACAGCTTACTTCCTGGAACTCAGTACTTGGTACAAACTGAGACAGATAGGAGAGCCACAGGGGGCTTTCTGGCACCAGCTCTGACTCTCAGAGATCAGCCTACACGGACTCAGAGGCAGACGTCCCCTCGGATCCCGGCCGTGTGCACAGGGAGGCCCGATTTACAGCTCCTAGGAGCCAGAAACTCTTGAAAGCACCAGGGTTTCTGTGAAAAGGGACTCGGTCTGTCCAACAAAGGGAGCACTTCTGTTGAACAGCAGCTTCCATTAAAAAGCCCCGAGGTAGAACACGGACTGTGTGTTCATCTAGGTCTGAGCAGAATCATCTCAGGTCCCGGTGACCCGGAATCCTGAAGGCATTAGAAGACATGGGATCTCAAAGGCAGCATTTCACTGAGAAGCTGTCCGAGCTAACTGCCAACCACCGTGGCTGACCTCCCTCTTGTTTGCTCCCGGCTCCCAGCACGGGGGCTCTAGGTCCCACGCACGCCACTGCCCACACTCTGCAGGTGGGTCCACAGACCGTGAGGAGCCTGGAGTGTCTTCAGCAGGAGTGCAGGTTCTGAGCAGACACACCCGTTGTGCGAGGCTGGCTCCCAGGCCCTGGGTCACACACTGAGGGGCGCTGAACAGCCCTCGGCTGCATAGGAGACCAAACCCTGATTGGGGGGTCTGGTGTTGGTCTGGAAACTGGCCAGTGGGCGCTGAGGGGGGTGCACACTTGCAGGACTTACCACCACCCCATGACGGCCCAGGTGCTGGCATTAACACGGATTCCTGGTAACTTCTCCCCTCCGAGGATATAAAGGGGAGCCAGAGCTGAGGGGCCTGGGGCTGCAACCGCTCCCAAGCCCTGCCCTCCACCGTCTGCTCCAGACCCAGTGCTCCCCTGCCATCCCAGGACTCGGCGGCTAGGTTTCACCTGGTGTGCTCTCAGTGTATCTGCTCTACCCAAAGCCACATCCCACCACCTTCCGCCCAAAATGAAACCAGAGTTCCACACAGGCTGCTGGTGGGTCACGCTTTAATAGCCACCCTGGAACATCAAGTGGGACACCCTGTAAGCATGAGGTTCACATTGCAGGAGACAATGGAAGTCAGTGGTTTCAGGAGGGGGGGAAGTCAGCTCTTACTGTGAGGACACAGCAACATCTCAAACCAGCAGCAAGGAAACCAAGCAGAAGCTCCTCCCTGCACCCTGAGCAGCTCCGGGGGTGGGGCGCGTGCTGCCGAGACCACGGTGCACAGGTGGGGACCCCGCCTGAAATGCTGTCGGGGTTCCACAGCCCGCACATGGTAAGGCAGTTCCCAGGGACCACCTGTCCTTTCAGCCAACCCCAGATGGAGACGGGTGTAGGCAACCCAGGGGCAAGGCCCTGGACCGTCCTCGTCCCGGCGGATGGCTGAACGCCCTCTAAAGCCGTACAGCTGGGTTCCATCCTCATCGGGCAGAAGCTGCAGCTCAGCCCAGCCCAGAAGCAGGTGCAGGGCCTGCTTGTCTTCGCCCCCGGCTGCCGGAGGGCTCCTGCCCTGCCTGGCCACAGAGCGGCTGGGAAAGGACAGCCTGAGCTGGGCATTGGACCCTCTGTGGGAAACGTCCGGGCCATACCTGCACACCAACAATGCCCACAGCCCTGAGGGGCCCACGCCACTGGGGGGCCTCCGGGGGGGGTGTGCATTAACCAGACAACCTGGGAAGTGGGGGCCAGCCTGCAGAGCGCACAAGATGCACAGGGCCCTCCACGGCCCCTGGCAGCTCCGGAGCTACTTGGTGGTTGTGGGCCACCAGTCCGGCACGGTCACCGTTAAGGCCACCTGGCCACTCTCGGCCGTCCTGATGTGGAGAGGGCCCTTGATATGCTCTGACCGCAGCAAGGCCAGGCCCACGTCCCCATGGCCTGCCCTGTACTTGCCGGCTGCCTGCCCCGAGGCAGTGAGCACCGAGGCGCCAGGGCTGATGCCGCAGGCTGGGAGAGGGCCCAACAGCCGCACGGGGAAGAGGCGCTTGCGGATGACGCCCATGTGGTGGGTGCGGGCCGTCAGCTCCTGGCCCACGTAGCAGCCCTTGGTGAAGCTCACACCATTCATGAAAGCCAGGTTGGACTCCAGGGGCAGGGCCACTCCTGGGGGCAGGTCATGGATCCCCTCGGGAACGCCTGTGGGGTGGAGGAATAAGCTCTCTGAGCGCTGAGATGTCCGCGGAGCTGGGGGCGGCCCCTCCCCTGCACCACTCCCCGCAGGGCGCGCTCTCCGTGCCCTATCCTGTGGCACGGGCGGGGGGATGCGGGGCCGACAAGCTAGCGCTGGAGCCGACTCTTCACCCCGGGCCCCCCAGGGTACCGGCCCACCACTCAGCGAGCCCCCGCCGCTCCCCGCCCCCCCGCACGGCCCAGGCCCGCGCCCACACCTTGCTGGTACCGGTACCGGTGATAGTCCTGGAGGTCTCCCAGCCGGCCGCCGGGCACCAGGGCCAGGCCCTCGTCCTGGGTGAGAAGCCGCCAGCCCATGCGGGCGGTCCGGGGGTCGCGGGTGAGGATGGTGGCCCCCTCCGCCTGCTCCCGCAGCGGCGCAGCCCCGCCGGCCTCCTCCGGGGTGCGGGGCAGCACAGCCCACACGCGCAGCTCGGGGCGCGGCTCCACCGTGACCTTCCGCCGGATCTTGTACAGTGCCAGGTGTGTCTGCAGCGCGCCCAGCACCGCGCGGTCGCACTCCAGGAGGAAGGCGGGCGCCTCGTCGTGCTCGGGGAGTCTGCGGGCAAAGACGGGGGCTCCTGAATGTGGGGACGGCTGCGCGGCACTGCCCACAGGCGGCGCGCTGGAGCCCCCAAGTCCGCCGCGGGCCCCGCCCCACCCAGGGTGCTGGCCGAGCTGCAGCACAGGCAAGGGGCACACCACTGGGTGGATGAGACGCGATGGGTCGGCAGGTAGACGGCGGGGACCGGGACCACAGTGCTGTGCGTCCTCACGGAGAAAGGTGGAAAGCTACCAGCAGCAGCCTCACGGCCAGGAGGCCCTGTCTCCCCCAGCTCCACAGAAACCACAGGTCCTAGGTGGGTGGCACTCGGATTTCAACAGGGTCAGAGGCTGGGCGAGCTGATAGGGCAGACACACCGCGGAGCAGGGGATGCCCATGCCCACCTCCCACTTCCCCCTGAGTGACCCTGGAACCTGGTCACCAGTGCGGGAACCAGGTGGGACAGCAGCAGTGCTTATGGACAGATGAGCCCAGAGGAGAGCCCAGTGCAGCGGACCTTAGTGGAGACGTTCAGGACCCACACAACTACCTAGCTGGGGTCCTGGTTGTAGATGACGACTGAACAAGGACCCACAGCCCCGAGGAATCTGAGACAGAATGGGGTAAGACCGTCCAGGACTGTGTCAGAAAAAGGCCATCAATTGGTGCACCGGACCCTGCCCCAGGCCCCCTCAACTGGTGTCCCCGACCCCTCCCCCAGACCCCCTCAGCTGGTGTCCCCGACCCCTCCCCCAGACCCCCTCAGCTGGTGTCCCCGACCCCTCCCCCAGACCCCCTCAGCTGGTGTCCCCGACCCCTCCCCCAG